AATCAGAGCTGACAGAGGCTGAAACGAGATCAAGCTGAGAGCATTTCAAACACACACTGGAGAATGCATATAGGTCTCAGCCACTGATGATTAAAAAAAAAAAGGGGGGACAAAAACAAAACCACAAATGTTTGCATTTAAACTTCTCCAAGAAGTTCTAATGGCCTATCCTTCCCTTGACTGAAAATTTTCAACTGGGCTCCCTCTGCCTTTATTTAAAAACCTTACAAAAGATGTTATTTAAATGCTTGGAAAAACTTTACGCTATGCCCCAGGAATGGGTAAGTGCCTCTCACTGTACAGCTCATATGGTTATTGTATCCTTTGATTAAAAAAACATGGTCCCCTCATGTACCCCTGGGGTGAAGTTCTAGAGAGATGGACTGACCACGTGCCAGGAAGGAATATGGGTCCAAATGACCCTTGCCAGAGGCGCGCTCTCGAGCTCAATCACGCTTTATTGAGATCTCTGGGGTCCCTTCCGCTGGCTGCTAGTCCTTCATCATGTCGTTCGAGAGCGCGCGTGGCCCTGGCCGGCCCCCGGGAGCCGTCACTTGTCCCCCGAGCGGTCGAGGGTCTCCAGCACCCTGTTGAGCCGGATGTTGAGCAGTCTGACCTGGTTCTCCAGGTGCTCGAGCTTGTCCTCCACGCTGGGGCCCCCAGGGCTACTCCGCCAGTAGAAGAAGCCCATGGGACCCGTCATGAAGTACACGGCCACCACGAAGCACAGGGGCAGCACGGCGTTCTCAGGCTCCCCCTCGTACTTGTGCAGGACGTACACGCAGGACATGGAGAAGAGCACCACACGCACCACCCAGAAGAAGCGGCCAAACACCATGTGCAGCACGCCGAAGGCGAAGCCCAGGGTCAGCGACAGGAACCAGTAGGCCAGGAGGATCACGCCAACCAGCAGCAGGGCGCGGGCAGGGCTGCTGGCCACCGAGGACGGGTTGAAGTACTGAGACAGATTCGTGACTGCGGGCGGGAGAGAGAGACGGGGTGGTTACTCAGGGAGCAGTCTGTCCCTCCCCTGGGGCTGGGATGGTGGCTCCAACTACAGGGACACACGTCTCAGCGCTGCATCCCCCCGATGTTTATTTTCTTACTATTATCTAAGTAAATGTTAACCGATAAAGGCAGCCTGCTAAGCCCCGGGCCGCTAACCAAAAGGCCAGTGGTTTGAACTCACCAGCCGTTCCAAGAAAGAAAAATGAGGCTGGCTGTTCCCACAAAGACTCCAGCTTTGACAGCCTACGGGGAAGGTCTGCTCTGTCATGCAGGGTCCCTACGAAGGACACTGGTGGGCTATGGCCCTTCAACAACCTTTTTTTGCTGGAACAGAACACACTGGAACAGATTTGACACCAATGGGTTTGGGTTTTATGTAGTTTCTTTAACTTTTTATTTGATTTGGGTGCCAAGTCCACAGATCAAATAGATTTTCCAGTCAATCGTTTTTCCTTTAGATATTGTTTAGTGACATCAATTACGATACCCTTAGTGTAACAACACTCTCCCCAGTCTGTCCCTGTGTCTCCTGTTTCCATTCTTCCTTTCTGAGCTTTTCTTCGCACCTACGCTTTAAACATGGGAAAATGCTGCTCTTAAAGTTCTATAAAGCAATTTAATTTTGCCTCCAACCATTCAGACACATTTTGTTTGATCACATTTATTTATGTGCCTACAATATATAATCACTTATCCCATTCCCTTCCTGTGATTCTCATCTCCATCAATCCTTCTGTGCTACCACTTATTGCTTTCCAGGCTCTATTCTTTGAGCAAATGTTGCTCTTTTTTTTCCCCTTTCATTTTTTAAAATTTTATTTTATTAATTTTCATGGACATTTACAGAGATTTTGGATTTCCATTCATTCATTGTTGCACTATTTCCTCTACCACCCCGCCCATTCGTTCCTCTCTTTTTTTCCCCCTTGAAAGTCTGTTTTTTTTTTGTTCCTTCTTTTTGAAAGTCTGTTTTAATTGTCCCATTGCCACAGTGCTTGTCAAAAAAATGTTGCTCTTTTGACCTCACTTGGCTGGTTTGTCTATGCCTCCCTGGTGCAAGTGGTCACCTACTAGGCTAAAAGCCAAGCCACATGGTGAGCTTTACTCCAGGTTTTAAGAATACCTAGCAGTTGCAGTCTCTAGGGTTCCACAGGTCTCTACTGGACCAACAATTCTGACCTTTTCTGTGGTGGTGTTTATTTATTGGTGGTTTTTGGTTTTTTTAAAAACTTTTGTTCCACACTTCCTCTCACTAGTGCCTTTTGATCTTTTTTTTCCCTTTTGATCTTATATGGTTGGCTGTTCCAAGGAGTGCACACTTCACTGGGGTTACTGGTCACCTCATAGGCCTGTTAATGTCTGGTGGAGAGCTGAACCACAGATTTATGCTTGAAGGGTGACTAATAGCCATGCTCTCAGTGTTACGCAGTCTCTATCAGACCAGTAAGCTTGGTCTCTGTATGACTTTGAGGTCTGTTCTCCCAGTCTCCCCAAGACCTTCTATTGAGAGATTGACAACCAATTGTCACAGAAAGTCCAAGCTCATCCTGGCGACCTCGTGTACAACTGAACAAAACGCTGGGAGGTCCAGCATCAGCCTCTCAATAGGTGCATGTTCCTACCGGCCATCCATTTCACCCAACAGGATGTCCTCCTCAAGGATGGCAAGTTAATTCATTAACTGGCTGACTCACCCAACATTCATTAGCTAACTGTTGTTGCTGATTGCTGAGTCGAGCATGAATGACTCATAGACCCTATGAACAAAAGGCCTGAAGACCCCCTACAACTACTGACATTTATCAAAGTGCAGAGTTTCTGGAGGCATGTGGTTTAGGAAGTGGATGCCACTCCTGCCTAGCTAACTAGGAATGTAAATCACCAGGCCTTGGGAGCTCTGGTGGCCTAGTGGCAAGAAGCTGCACTGCAATCCCAAAGGTACACAGTTCGAATCCAGATGCTCTGCTGGAGGAGGGCAAACTCCTCCTGTACCAGTTAGATCTGATTTGACGGTACACACACACACACACACACACACACACACACACATTAAAAAAAAAGTAAATAAAAGTCACGAGGCCTTTTTCCCTGTTCTAAAAGCTCTGCTGAAACCTGTCCCCATGGGTGACCCTGCTGGTATTTGAAATATCAGCGACATCATGTCCAGCCATGTGCAAGCCACTGCAACACAGCGTTTTAACAGATGAGGGCTGTTTTTGGTGCGGGCGGTCAAGTCAACAACAGCTTGCAGAGACCCTGTGAACACATTTGAACTTGGCCTTGTCCTGTGCCATCTTCAAGGTCTCCACTATGCACACGCCCACTGTTACAGTCACAGGTCAGTCCATCTCGTTGGGGGTTTTCCTCTTTTTCTCTGACCCTCCACCTGTCCCAGGATGATGTCTCATTCCTAGGACTGGGTCTCTTCTGACAACATGCCCAAAATATGTGAGACCAGGTTTCATCATCCCTTCCTCCGAGACAGATCGGAAGTTTGTTCTCTTTGAAGAATACCGTTGTTCACCGGAGTTAGGTGCCATCAAGTTGAGTACAACTCCTGGTGACCCTATGAACAAAAGGTCTGAACCTTGTCCTATCCTGCACAATTCTCCTGATCTTGATACGCCTGGGCCCACTCTCACAGTCACTGTGCCAATCTATCTGTTTGAGGGTCTTCTCTTTTGTGGACCCTCTGCCCTTCCAAGCATGATGTCCTTTTTCAAGAACTGGTCCTAATAACATGTCCAGAATATGTGAGATGCAGTTTCATCATCCTTCTCTCCAAGAAGCACGCTGGCTGCACCTTCTCCAAGACATCCTTGTTTGTTCTTTTGGCATTCATTGGAATATTCAGGACGTGGCTGAGAACTAGATTTCCACTGGGCTGGGGGTGGGGGGGTCTCCTTATTACTAAGCACATGAAAAATTCGGAAGGAAATTCCAGGATCAGGCGTAAGGATCTGACTCTGGCACGAGGCCATCCTGAAAAGTAGTTCGCACTCTGAAGAGTCACTGCGAAGAAGCCAATGACAAAGGCCTTTGGAGGACGTGCAGCCTGTGGCAGTGAAGACGCTGGGAAATGCCACAGCTCACACGCGAGGTCTCAGGACAGCTAGGCTGGAGTTGTGAGCACTCCCTGTCCCGCAGAGCCATGGCACTGTCCTCCTCCATGACCAGGGGCTTTGCCCCATAGCACCTTCCACCTCACGCCCGTCAGGTTTCTTGCAGTTGGTTCTGATTCTTCACAGCTTGCCACTTAGGGGAGGAAACAGAGGCCAGGGTGGTGGGGAGGTGGTGAGTGGAGACTCCAAGTGTATTGCAGGCGATTGCTGCGTCAGGGAGAGGCATTGACTCAGCTGGTCCCAGGGGCCACCAGTCCCCGGGAGGTGGCACAGCCCGCTTCTCCACCTGAGCAGCAAAGCCCACGGCCTCTCAAAGGCCAAACTCAGCAACCCAGGAGGAAGGCGGGTCCAAGCGGCCGAGTGGCTGGAGGTGAGAGATGCAACCTCAGAGCCCAGGTGTCTGATCTGTACAGTGGGGCCTCGGAGAGAGACAATGTTGGGACTGTGAAAGCAACTGTGCTAAGGTGGCAGCGTGCAGATCCCAGGCGCCAGGGGGGCCTAGTGTAATTTATCAGGCTACTAAATGAAAGGTGGGCAGTTCAAATCGACCAGTCTCCCCTTGTCGGTCTCCTCTCCTAAGGAATTACGGCTTCAGATACCTGACAGAGGGTCACTGGGAGTCTGAATTGACTCAGTGGGGTTTGATTTAGGGTACAAGTCTCAGGGCCACAGTGACAAATCAAAACTACTGGATTACATCAAAAGTCCTGTGACATACTGTGTAATGTGCCTGCCAGTCAAAAGGTCAGCGGTTCAAATCCATCAGATTCACAACCTCAGAGACAGAGGGGATGGAGGCAGCAGCTTCAAACGACAGAAATGATTCTCTCCCAGTTCTAGATTGCAGAGCCCAGGATGGAGGTGTCTCTGTCCCCCTAAAGGAGCCATCCTGTCCACCTCTCCAGCGTCTGGTGGCTCCAGGTATTCCCTGGTGTGGCTCCCTCTCTGCCTCCATCATCACAGGCCTCGTCCTCTGGGGTTTTCTGTATCTGCGTCCAACGCTCTCCTGATAAGGGCCCCCGTCATTGGATTGAGGGCCCACCCTGCCCCAGGGAAGGAGCTCTGGTGGTGCAGTCAGTAGCAAAATGCACTACTCACCTGAAGGCTGCACGTCATGTCTCTGGCAGTTCAAATCCACCAGCTGCTTTAAGGAACAGACGGACAATCACCTCCCATTTACAGCCTCAGCGAGCTGATGGAAGGTTAGAAGTAACTCAATGCCAGGGAGTTTGACTTCTACTCCAGGGAAGAAATCCTAGTGGTATTGTGGTTAAGCCATTCAGTTGCCAACCAGAAGGTCAGTGGTTTGAGCCCACTAGCTGCTCGTGGTAATACAATGAAGCAGTCTGCTTCTACGGCTCTTACAGCTTTGGAAGTGTTCTGGGGCAGTTCTGTTCTGTTACGGTCACTGAGGCAGACCTGAATCGAGAGCAGCCGGGATTTTCGGTTTCCTACGGTAGTGAAGGAGGCCTGGTGGTCCGACGGTTAGGTGTGTGGCTCTTAACTGAAAAGGCTGGCAGCTCCAACCCACGCAGCTGCTCTGTGGGAGGAAGGCCCGCAATCTGCTCCCAGGAAGACTGAGAACTCATTCCCATTCCCCCTGCATCGATTCTGACTCAGCGACATTATCATCCTAAGAACGGTCTTACGGGGTTTCCAAAACGGAAAAGCTTTCCCGAAGCCGAATGCCTCCTGCTTCCCCCCACGGAGCCGCTGGCGGGTTCCGGCCACTGACCTTTCGTGAACAGCCAAGCACTTGAAACACCGTGACCCTGGGGACAGCCGATAAAGACTACAGCTTCAAAAACTCCGCGAGGGGTGGACTCCCCTGGCATCCAAGGTCACATCATACCTGTGTGCTAAGGACACTCCAACCCCTAACAGTAGCTAAGGAGAGGGACCAGCAGCTGTCCCCTCTTATTGGTAGAGGGTCTCTGGGCCTGGGCCTGGGCCAAGGATGCAGCTGGGAGAGGACTCCTGAGCATGGAGCCCACCCACCAAAAGGGAGGCAGGTGATAAACTAGCAAGAAGGTAAGAGAGGGCCTGTCACAGTGAAATGCTGATGGCACAAAGGGGGAGACTGAATGGAGGCAAAGCCAACCAGGAAGGGCCCTGTGTCACAAGGATGTGGAAAGCGGCTTAGCCACTGCTGGGGGTTACGCGTGTTTCTGAGAGATGATGCTGAAGTCCTAGCGCCTGGCACCGTTAACATGACTGCATTTGGAACAAAAACCGCTCAAGATTGCCATCAAGCCAAGAGGAGGCCATGCTGCCGTGACAGCCTCATTCAACGACCTGTGTCCCTGTAAGACGGGACTTGTGGACACAGGCTCGGTCCCCTAACAGACACCGACTCACAAGTGTCCTGCAAGGGTTTCCAAGTCTGTCACCCGCACAGAAGCAGACTGCCTCGCCTTTCTCTCTGGAAGCAGCTGGTTGAGTCAGAACCTCTACTCTTTGGTTTACGGCCCAAGAATCAACCCACCAGGTCTCTCCTTATCCCAAGCTGTGCCCGTGGGATTCCACCCCCGGACGTGCCATTTGTCTGTACAACGAGAAAAACAAGAAAATGCTCATCTGTACACTCAGGGCCACACTCAACCCCCGCGTGGGCGAGGACTCCACGGCCGAATGGTCGCCCCCGCCCCACACCTACCGTCAAGGCCAAGAACGTCCAGGAGCTCTGTCCACAGCTTCCACAACACGTCCATCAGCATGTCCACTCCCACCACAAACCGCTCAGTCAGCCGGCTCAGGAACTGCGGGGAAGAAAACCCTCACTGTCAGTCCGCCGGCAGCCACCATCATCCTACAACAGTTCATGTTTTTTTTTTTGGGGGGGGGGACCAGCAGGCAAGGTGGTGGGGTGCAGGGCAGCACAGCTATCCTGCTGGACACGGTCACAGGGAGCAAGTGACGCCACGCATTCCTCTGAACCACTCTGACAACAAACACTGCCCGAGCCCCCCAGGTGAGCCAGGGGGGCTCTCCCACGCCACCACTGGCGGCTCAATTCTGACCCCGAAGGACAGAGATCTTCCCTCGCCTCCCAGGAGGGTGCTCTCACCACTGCACCATCGGGGACCCCACTATCCCCAGGAAAGCTCATGTCCTGACCAGTCGTCATCAAGCTGCTTCTGACTCTTGATGTTCCCGTGTGTGTCAGAGTAGAGTGGCGCCCCAAGAAGTGTTTCATGGACAGATTTTTCATACACAGATTGCCAGGCCTTTCTTCCAGGGCACCTCTGCAGGACTGGAAGACGTCTGGACTGGAAGAGGTCCGTATTTGTTCTTGTTCCCAAGAAAGGTGATCCAAGAGAACGTGGAAACTATCGAACAATATCATTATATCACATGCAAGCAAAATACTGCTGAAGGTCATTACAAAAATAGTTAGAAGGGGAGCTCTGGTGGCCTAGTGGTAAGGAGCTGCAACTACAATCCCAGAGGCTCACGGTTCAAATCCACCAGATGCTCTGCCGGGGAAGGAGGGACAATCTCCTCCTGTACCAGTCAGATCTGATTTGACGGTACACGCACATAAAAATAATAATAATAAAAAAATAGAACAGTACATGTGTAGGGCACTGCCAGTTTAAGCAGGACTCTTAGAAGAGGCCATGGTACCAGGGAGAACACTGCTGATGTCAGATGGATCCTGGCTGAAGGTAAAGAAGACGAGAAGGATGCCAATTTATGCTTTATGGACTATGCAAAGGCATTTGACTGTGTGGATCATAAAAAGTTATGACTAATATTGAGAAGAATAGGAATCTCAGAGCATTTAACCGTGCTCATGCGAAACCTATACCAAGATCAGGGAGGCTGTGGAGCAAACAGAGCAAGGAAACACAACACTACATGATTTAGAATCAAGAAGGGGGTGCAGCAGGGTGGTATTTTCTCCCCATACTTATTCAATCTGTACACTGAGCAAATTATTCGAGAAGCTGGCCTCTATGAAGAGGAATGTGGCATCAAGATTGGAGGAAGACTCATCAATAACTTGCATTATGTAGATGACACAACCTTGCTTGCTGAAAGTGAAGAGGGCTTAAAGCACTTGTTGCAAAAGATCTAAGAATGCAGTCTTCAATATGGATCGCATCTCAATATTAAGAAAACAGAAATTCTTACCATTAGACTGATAGGCAACATCATGATAGATGGAGAAAAGATTGAAACTGTCAACAATTTTATCTTACTTGGATCCACAATTAACACCCTTGGTACTGGCAGTCAGGAAATCAGGAGATGTATTGCACTGGGAAAGTCTGGAGTCAGGGACTTATCCAAACGATCGAGGAATAATAATGTCAGTTTGAGGACTAAGGTGTGTCTGATTCAGGCCATGGCTGTTCTGACCAGTTGCTATGCATCTGAGAGCTGGACAATGAATAAGGATGACAGAAGAAAGTATGCCTTTGAGCTGTGGTGTTGGAGAAGAGTGCTGAACATCCCGTGAAGTGCCAAAAGAACAAATACGTCTTGGAGAAAGTGCAGCCAGAGTGCTCTTTGGAGACAAAGATGATAAAGCATTGCCTCACATACTTCAGGTACGTTGCTAGGAGGGGCTCTTTCTTGGAGAGAGACATGATGCTCAAAGAGACAGAAGATCTGCAAAGATGAGGAAGACCCTCAATCAGGTGGACTGACATGGTGACTGTCATAACGGGCTCTAGTGTGTCAGGAAGAGTGAGGACAGCACAGGATAAGACAGGGTTCAGATCAGTTGTTCAGAGGGTGGTTATGGGTCATATTTGACTCAATGGTACCTAACACCACCACCACCCCTGCTAACTAACAAACTTGGTCTCCATACATTTCCCTTTTCTCTCCTTTTTTTTAAATTTTTATTGTATTATTTTTACGTGTACCGTCAAATCAGATCTGACAGGCACAGGAGGAGATTGCCCCCTCCTTCTCCAGCAGAGCATCTGGGGGATTTGAACCACGTACCTCTGATATTGCAGTGCAGCGTCTTGCCACTAGGTCACCAGAGCTCCCTTTTTCTCTCTTTTTTTATAGAAGTGAGGTTATCGACCATTTGCCCTTTTATGATTGGCATACTTCACTGCCTTCTAGCTCCATCAACACTGCATCACATATCAAGACTTCTTTTCTTCCACCAGCTTAGTAATAATTCCACATTTTCTTTATCCATTCATCAACTGATAGGCATATAGGTCATTTCCACCTTTCAGCTCTTGTAGTTGCTGCTATAACTATAAACATTAGTGCATAATTACATTCTAATTGTGAGGGTGGTAGAAAATGCTAAATGTAGCATGAGCTGCCAGAAGAAGCAAACAAATCGGTCTTGAAGAAGTGCATCCAAGGGAGCTCTGGTGGCATAGTGGCAAGGAGCTGCAACTATAATCCCAGAGGCGCACAGTTCGAATCCACCAGATGCTCTGCTGGAGAAGGAGGGACAATCTCCTCCTGTACCAGTCAGATCTGATTTGACGGTGCACTCACACACACACAAAAAATAACAAACTGGGAGGAGGGTAGAGAGAATAGTGCAACAATGAATGAGTGGAGCCCAAAATCTCTGTAAATGTTTATGAAAATTAATAAAATATAATTATAGAGAAAAAAAAATTTTTTTTTTAAAAAAAGAAGTGCATCCAGAGAGCTCTTTAGAAGTGAGGCTCTGGTGGCCTAGTGGCAAGAAGGTGCACTGCAATCCCAGAGTTACTGGGTTCAAATCCACCAGATGCTCTGCTGAAGAAGGAGGGACAATCTCCTCCTATACCAGTCAGATCCGATTTGACAATACACATATAAAAAGTAATAAAAAAAAAGGAAGTGAGGCTGAAGAGACGTCAGCTCATGTTCTCTGGACATGTGAACAGGAGGGGCCAGTCCCTAAAGGACATGAAACTTGGTGAAAAAGTGGGTGAATGAAAAAGAGGAAGATTCTCAACAAAACAGATCAACACGGTAGCTACAGACGGGGCAGCGTGGCTCGGGACCAGGTGGTGTTTCATGCTGCTGGACAGGGGTTGCTGAGTCCGAGTTACCTCAATGGTCAACTGGCCGCCCAGGCCTCTATTTCTGCAGCTGATCAGTGGGGATAATGGGACCACTTACCAACAACAACAACATCGTCCTGTTACTGTGGGCACTGGAGGGGAGAATTCACAAGAAGAATCACCACGGTGCATGTTCAAAACCCCCCTACCCAACATCAAACCTACTCCCATCAAGTGGATTCTGACACACAGCAACCCAACTGGTTAGGGCAGAACCACCCGCAGGGTTTCCAACGCTGGACTCTTCCCAGAAGCAGACTGCCCCATCTCCCTCATAGAGCAGCTGGCCTACTGGATTTGAACCGCTGACCTTTTGGTCAGCAGCCAAGCGCTTCAACAACTTACACCATCAGGGCTCCTTGCTCCTCACACAGCACCTGTTTTTCTCATTTATAAAAGTGTAGTTCAGTACTCCTAACACAAAATGCACCATTTTAACTAAAGCGTACGACTCAGTGACTTTTAGTACATTCAGGATGTACTAAAAGTACGATTTTCATTACCATCTAGTTCCAGAACATTCTCAGTATCTCAAAACAGGTACCTCATGCTCTTTACTGCCCATTCTCTACTCCCTCTCCCTCAAAACCGAAAACCCAACCCCACTGCTGAGCTGAGTGACCGAGTAGAACTGCCCCATCAGGTTTCTGAGGTTGTAATCTTCATGGGAACAGACTGCCTGAGCTGTCTCCCAAAAGGGAATGGTGGGTTTGAACCGCCCATCTTTTGATTAGCAGCCAGATGTTGTACCCACCACGTGAGCAGAGCGAGTGTTCATGCGACGGCAGCGTTGCTGGTCCTGAGGAACCTCTAAAATACCACAGAAGCTGTGGTTCTTACGGCATGAACCCAATATGCAAACTATTTCAAGGGCTTCTTTTTTAGAGCTCAGAGAGGCTTCTGAGCTGTTTTCCTTTAGATGGTCCTGTTCAATTTTTTTTTTAAATTGTATTATTTTTACGTGTACCGTCAAATCAGATCTGACTGACACAGAAGGAGATTGCCCCCTCCTTCTCCAGCAGAGCACCTGGTGGATTTGAACCGTGTACCTCTGGGATTGCAGTGCAGCATCTTGCCACTAGGCCACCAGAATTCCCTTGGTCTTGCTCAATTTAAACAGTGCTTCCCCCTCATTGTCGAGTTGATCCTGACCACAGTGACCCCCGCCAGGGCAGAAGAGAACTGCCCCTTGGCGTTTCCTGGGCTGTGATCTTTACAGAAGATGGTAAACTTAAGACTAGGAAGTGCTGTGGGCATTTGCATACCTTACCCAAACCGAACCTCCACTGCTCCAGGGGTGTGTGTCTCTTGGTGAGCCCCCCCACATCAGGCTTCCGAGGTAGCAGGTCCCTCATGGGAGCGGACTGCCCATCTGTCTCCTGAGGAGCTAGTAGTGGATTTGAACTCCCAACCTTTTGGTCAGCAGCCTGACAACTTATGCACCACACCACCAGGCTCCTTTGTCTCTGTACACACTGATCGTTAATCTTTAAATGAAATGAGTACATCATTCTCCTACCAGGTTAAACCTGTTCTATGACCTGATCTACCACATATTAAATATTTATTCATTGTCTGGTAGTGTGCAATCCAGTTAATCTCATGTAATCCCTCTAATTCTCTCTTTCCTACAACTAAGGCACAGAGAGGGAAAGCCACTGACCCATGGTCGCAAAGCTAGTGAGCAGCAGGGCTGGGATTTAACCCGACATCAGCCGGACATCGAGGCTCCACAGCAGGAGGCCACAGACTTATTTCAGGTCATCCTACATTAGGAAGTGGGTTGTTTCTCTATCCACCTCCAAGCCTCAGACCTCGGAGCAGGTCTGATGGAATCTTAGGGAACTCAGAGGCAATGAAAATTATAGTCGCAAGCTGGTTGTGTGGAATTAAAAATAACAATTTACCAAAGCTGGCAGAACGGCTACTTGTCAAGACATAAAATAAACATCAGTCTCACTCCAGATGTCACTTCAGTGCAAATGTGGTGAGTCTTTAGAAGACCTAGGGATCTGCTTCCGTAAGATAATAGTTTCGGGGAGCTCTGGTGGCCTAGTGGCAAGAAGCTGCAACTGCAAGTTCAGAGGTGCACGGTTCAAATCCACCAGAATAATCTCCTCCTGTACCAGTCAGATCTGATTTGACCGTACACACACAAAATAATGAAATTTTTTAAAAAAAAAGATAATAGTTTCAGAAATGCTACGGAGCGGTTCTATTCCTAGAGGGTGTCCACTGGGGCAGGACTCTACATCTGATGGCATCCACTTGATGGCATATGGCAACAAGGGGCCAGAAAGCAGCGGTGACTGAGGGTTAGGACCATGGCCTTCGGATCCACCTGAAGCCAGTGACTTCACCTCCCTGTGCCTGTTTCCTCACCTGCAAAATGAAATCAGTATCTGCTTCAAAGATCTGTTCTAAGTTACTAGGCCTTTATGACAGCACTTAGCATTACTTATGGAAGTATTACTATCTCTTAATGACCCGGGGGGGGGGGGGAAACTCAGGTTCATCCAGAGTTTGAAGCTGTTTCTTTGCCAGAATATAGCTCTCTCCTAATACCCACCCTGACCCACTGCTGCCAAGTCAATTTTGGTGACTCTTAGGTTAGACCTCTACCCCATACAGTTTCCAAGGCTATAAATCTCTATGGAACACTTTAGAGCAGCTGGTCGGCTCCAACTGCTAACCTTGAGGTGAGTAGTTAAGTGTTTTAACCACGATACCACCAGGAATCTCTTTCTCCTGGAGACCAAACCCCATGGCTGTTGGGCCATTTCTGCCTCATAGCAGCCCTGCAGGACAGAGGAGAACCGCCCCGGCTTTCTCCCAAGCACTGACACCGCACCACCAGGGCTCCCTTCCACTCCTTGACGTCAACTCTTAAATCTCCCTTTTTGTACCTTGTCTCTGTTGACCAGTCGAAGGTCCACCTAACAGTTCAGTTGGGATTAGGGGTTCCTTTAAACTTGCTCTGCACAATCTTCCTTCTACTTTTATCCCCAAATGGCACAGCCAACACTGGCAAAGACAAGTGCTCACAGCCTTGATGCTGGGAGGACTTGAGGGCACACGCTTGCATTCAGGTATCCAGCCATGCTCCTCCCTGCCCCTTTGATAACCGAACGGGCAGGCCTCGGGGATCCTGACGGTTTGGTTCCAGGCCTCCTCAACACAGTGAAGAGCACAAAAAAGGTGAGTCACACGGATTTCTTGGCTACCCAGTGCATAGAAAAGTTCACAAGCAACTACAACCTCACAGAAAGGTTGGCAGTTCAAATCCACCAGCCACAGGAAAAAAGGCAATCTCCTCCAGAGGTTGTGTTCCAATCTCAAAAGCGTGCAGTTTGAACCGACCAGCTGCTCTGTGGGAGAGGGATAGACAATCTCCTCTCGTGCAATTAACTGCCTCTGAGAACCCACTGGAGGATTAGCTATGAGTCAGTTCACATAGGCACACAACAACAATACAATACCTGATTGTGAGTTTGAGTCAACTCAAGGGCAGTGAATGGATGGCGTGTTTCGTGTGCCGGAGGACAAGGTTTGAAATGTTGTGAAACGAGACACAAAGTGGAAAAATAGACCAGAGGGTAGGGTTGCCATAAACTTTCAATTTCTCACACATACACACACTAATGTGGGAAGCACAGTAAAAGGAGATAAGCATTTACTGTCCTCCACCTAGGAGGGTGCAGACCAGAGGTGAGGGACACTGGATCCAAGAAGTGGCAGTTTCCCTGACCAATCAGCATGTCTTCCATTTCACCGGGTAAGAAAGCCCAGCCAAACTGATTGGGTGTTAATGCTTTTCTCTACCATTGCCCGCCCCCACCTCCCAGTCTAGGAAACTTTTTGCTCCCAGCTAGCTGTGTTAAGCAATGAAACCCTACACGATGGCCAAGAAATAATATTAACAGCACCAGCCCGGTGTCTCTGAAGAGCTCTGTGGGAAGCATGCAGCTTTACAACCTCACAATGTAAACAGTGGGATCACTAACGCACTGAACAGACACAGAAACCGAGGCTCAAAGAAGTGAAGGCCCTGGCCTAAAGCCATCCCACTTCTAAGTAGTAGGGCCAGGAATTGAACCCTAATTTCTCTCCACTCTTAAACCCAGAGAAAAGGAAGTTTTTAAAAAGGTCCAGGAGGACTGTCGGGTAAGCTGTGCTGTTAAAGGATAGGTTTGCAGTTGAATCTTGTCACTTGCTCAGAGGAAGATGAGACTTTCAGCTTCTATAAAGATTTACAGCCTTGTAAAGGCTGTGGGCCCTAAGTCCAGCAAGGGCGCCTGAGTTGGAAGCCATTCATTGGTGGTAGGCACGGCAAGATCTTTTCGCAAAGAAATGAAGGAACCACATGCAACTTCCCTTTTGTGGGGATCAATAGGGATGGTCTTTGGCCTGTTCCACCCAGCTCCCACTCCCTCTCGGCACACTCCCAAGGCTGCAGGTTCCAAGGCGGCCCCACAGAGAAAGGACACGCTGTGCGAGCGGCCAGCACCCCGTAGGTGCTCTGGAGGGCGGCCGTGCCAGGTTGCCAAAGCAACGGAGCAAACAGCTTGTTCCCTCTCTTGTCCATTAAGAGAAAAATAAGCCCAAAGATCCTGAAAGCTGGAGAAGGAGGCCCTAAGAAGCTCGGGAAATGGGTCGCGCCGCAGGGCTGGCTGGGCGCGCGCAGCGGGGCGCACAGGGGGCGCGGGCGTGGGCGGCCGGCCCAATGTCTGGCTCATAGTAGGTGCTCAGCAAACGTGTGAGTGAATGAATGGGAGGCGCGGCGGAGTCAGCGCCGCCCGGACAGGCCCGACCGCGCCGCGCGCCCCAGGGGTCCAAGGTCCAAGGAGAAGTGCTGCGAGGGAAAGAGCGCGGGCACCCCGGGGCCTTGCGCCCCAGATCTGGTCTTCGAGAGCGACCCTCTCAAACCAGACACCCTTCCCTTGGGCCAGCAACCTCCTCCCCGCGTCCTGGAGGCCGCACGCGGCCCAGGCCTCCCAAGAGCCAGGTGCGCGGCGGCTCAGGCAAGGTGACCGCGGGCACGGGCCCAGCGCCCACCTTCTGTGCGACGCGCACGTTGTCCTCGCCGAACAGGCTGCTGAGGCTCTGCGAGAAGGTGCTGACCGTGCGCCGGTAGCTGTTCTTCTCGGCGCCGCTGCGGCCCCGCGCCGCCTGCGCGCCCGGAGCCAGCTGTCCGAGCAGCAGCAGGAGCAGCAGCAGCAGCCCCGGAGC